GGGGGGGGGGGGGCAATTGCCCCCTACTCATTAATGTAAATTCGCCTATGACTACGAGGCACAACAGAAAAATGTTTGTACTTTAGAAAAGTAGATCTAAAGTTATTGGGCTACGTAGATGCAGACTTTAGAGGTGAAGTGTATCACCGAAGAAGCACCACCGGTTACATTTTCATTGTTGAAGCTACAGCTGTTAGATGGATATCGCGGATACAAAAGATTGTTGCTCTATCCACTACAGAGGCTGAGTATGTAGCAGTGACAGAAGCCAGTAAATAATTGATATGGCTTCAAGGATTGTTAGCAGAGTTGGGTTTCACTCAAAAAGAGAGTGTTTTGCACAGTGACAATCAGAGTGCATTAGATTTGGCAAAGAACTCAGTATTTCACTCTAGAACTGAGCACATTGACATACAATATCATTTTATCAGATCTCTGCTTGAAGATGAAGTGTTGACTTTGAAGAAGATCATAGGAACCAAGAACCCAACAGATATGCTAACGAAGGTGGTGATCCTTGACAAACTGAAGTTGTGCTCAACTTCAGTTGGCTTGCTAGAGTAACAGACCGGAGAAAACTACTGCAGTAATTGAGGTGTGAGGACAGATTGTAATCAGTCCTCAAGTGAGAGATTGTTGAGTCAGAAAATGGGTGCCGCCCATTTCATCTGACAATTAGTAAAATAAAATTAAAAAAAAAAGGCTGCGCCCACTCCTCTTGAAAGTTGCGAAGGAAAAACAAAGAAAGGCAGACATCACACAATGGGAGAGTTTAGAGTGCAATGTTCACATTGCACTCAGAGGGATTCAGATGAAATATAACACAACAAAAATACAACAAAAATACAAAAAGAAGAAAAAATTGAGTGAGCTTAATTTAGCCTTTGTGTGTATTTTTGGGTGTGAATTGTGAGTGAGTTTGATAGTGTTTTGTAAACACGAGTGTATTTTATTTTTCCTAATAAAATATCTGCAGTAGTCTGGAGACGTAGACATTATTGGCCGAACTCCATTTTCAATTGGTGTGTCCAATTTTTTATTTTTTATTTCACTTTTATAGATCTGACTTCATGAAAATTCAGCGTATTTTTCCCAACAGATACCTTTAAATTATCCCTATTATTTAATATATGAAATTATTTTTATCTTTTCTCATTTGTTTCGTCGATTAGTATAGACGGACAAACCACAATATTGTCACTAAAGTAAAAGAGTGATTCATTTTTTTTTAAATATTTACAGTTAACATGAAATATTTCATGTCAATCTTCATTAAACCATAGCTTCTATTTTTTTTTTCGCTTTTAGAGATATTAAACGGTACGAGCAACTGGAAAGCTTGACTCATTAAGGCTCGAGTTTAAGTTGTTAGTATTGATAATCAAGCGTGCTCGTACTTCATGGCTTATTTTTCCGACTTGATAAAGCTTAATATTTATGAGGTTTCACGTAATTTCATGAACCCCCAAATTAGCACGGCTCGGTAAAGTTTGGAATTGACTCATCATTCAACTCGTTAAAGTTATTAAGCGAGTCGAGCTATATCTTTATGGACAGTTAGCCCACGGTACTTTTGGTTTCTGGCTACGCTCCTGGTTGTGGAAAGCTACCAACTTCGTTCATTGCTTAACTCCGTACCATCATCTCGTGTTCTTGTTGGCATAAGCC